CTTTTTTCTTGCATTGTGCTGCGACGGCGAGCGTGGTGGCGGCTGATGGATTGTGTCCGATGGGCACAAGCGCCATTGGCAGTGATGATGTTGCCTCAGTACTCGTCCCTACATTGGTCTCGACGCCAGTGGTAGCAAAAACTCTTGTGGCATCTGCGCTTTCACCTGCATTGCCTTCATCGACAGCAGCAGCCTTGCCATTGCCATTGTTGGTATCAATGGCCACTGAATGGCGTGCTGGTTCACTGGCATTGCTCTCGAACTTGGCAGCAAAACAACCTTTCACTTTCTTGTGGCTGGCCCGGTGCCCGCCAAGAGCTTGGTGCGAGGTGAACACCTTCTTGCACGCCTTGCACTCAAAAACTCCACGTGATGCAGGTGATATGTATTGTGACACCGTAGCTACTGGCGAAGGCAGTGCCACAACTGACTCTTGTGCGTGTGTGAAAAAAGAGATTTGTTGCGGTTGCAACGGCGGTTCTCCATCACCTTCCTTGATAGATGCACTTGCTGGCACCAGATGATCCGTTGCAGTAACAGTCGCCCGCTCGTTGTTGGACTTGGACGACGATAGCATGACGAGACAATTCGCAAGGTCCTCCTCCTCTCCTAATGTGCACCGCTCTAGCGGCACCACGGTGGAAGGCTCCTCCGCCTTGACGCGGCGCGATCGCTTTCCCTTTGACCATGCAGCTGCCACGGCCGGATCCTCCTCGCCGTCGGCGTCCGAGGGAGGCGATGACGAACGTAGAGAGCCAGACCCATCCACCTCTTCTTCTCCCTCGTCCTGCGAGATGCATTTCCCGTGTTGAAGAAAAAGCTCCCATGACGTAAACTCCTTCCCGCAGTTTATGCACAGCTGGCAGCTCCTGATCAGCCTGTTCGGATTCGCCCGCAGCGCATACGCGTGCGTCGCCGATGTTCCCACCGTGTCCCACTGATCTGCCCCCAGGCACTGCGCGGACGCCTCGTCGCCGAGCGAGTCGTCGTCGGCGCCGAAGCCGTCGACGTCGCTAGCACCGTGGGCTCTCATGTGCCCGCCGAGCGCACTGCCGCACGTGAACCCCTTGTTGCATACTCGACAGAAGTGCTTGTACTCCGGTGGCTGTCCCGGCGGCCGAGACGGCTGCGGTGGTGACGGAGACGGTGGCATCTGGTCATGGGTAACATGTGGTGAGGGGAAAGGTCAAACTAATGCGATGTGGAGAAGTGTGCATGCACATACCAGCGACGATAGAGATTCACACATTGCCGCGCGACAGATTCGATGGTCTCGACGGTGTCGTCTTTCCGAGCTATAGCGCCATGCACAAGCCTCTGGAGGTCACAGTTGTTCATGGTAACATGTGGTGAGAGGAAGGTCAAACTAATGTGCCGTGGAGAACTGCACATGCACGTACCAGGGACGACGGAGATTCACACATTACCGCGCGACAGATTCGATGGTCATGATTATGTTCAAAAAAAAAGAGATGGTCATGACGGTGCCTTCCCAGCTATAGTAGCGCCACACGCCTCTGGTGGTCACAGTTGCAGCAAACCTTTCCTTTCAACTGCTTAATCCTAGTGTTTGCTATATATATACACGCTCTTTGGCAGCGTTGTGCTCCTTCTTCTGGTTAAGCTAGTGACACATGGCAAGGAAATCAGGGGTTGTTAGCTCCCCCAGTCGCCACGGACACACCTGTCAGCCTAAGAAATTGTGGAAGTACGGATGCGAAAAAATTCTTCCGTAGTAATAGGCGGGAAATATTTAAAACCACTGGTCCTCTAGAGGGTCAACGTCGTGTTCGCTTGACTTATAAGCCATATTTTTTCAGCAAACGAATAGTATTTTTCTCTTACAACAAATCAGTCAACAGTACTTTCAGTCATGGCTTATCAGCCAAACGAACAGAGCACATGTTGTTGGATACGTCTAATGGTGGTTAACCACTAGTTATTTACGCTACTGTAGCCTTCTTTACCTATCCATCTTCCTTCCAAGGGTGGCATGATCCCGAAAAAATCGATGCTACTATTTTGTCAGGGTAGTAGCGGTATGATCGGGTCTTAGTTAATCTACTACCTATTTCTAGGGTTCTACAGTTTCGCTTTGAATCTATTCGTTGGTTTTTAACCATTGGTGTACCTTATAAAACTCCTTTCGTGCATTGTTGCGGTAATGTAGTACTAACTACATTATTTTATTTTTGAAGTTAGTTTTGAGCTCTTTTTTTAACTTTAGTGTTTAGTCTCTAATTTTCAATTGAGTTTCAAACAAACTGGTTACATTATCAAAAGAACAAGCAATGCTTGCATCATGGCTACAATACAAAACTTGATGCATTTCACTTAGCGCCATGTTTAGCAAGGAAGTATCAAATGATACCGTGATTGGTAAGCATGTCAACTAATTCAGAAATTGCAAATAAGGATTCAAGATAAATGTATATTTGTCGTGAAGTGAATAGAAATAAATCATTTATTTCAACATTCAGGAAGAGTGTAAACATCTCATACTGTACGTAGAGCATTCAGGAAAAAAACATTTTTCTCTAGAATTCAATTTGGGTTTCCAAATGAAACTTTCAAATTTTCATAGAGACCAAATCTATCTCTCACCGATGCACACTGCTAATCACATAATCTTAAATAATAGAAGACTGATGCAATTTTCTTCTAAACATTTCATCAAACATCGTCTAGTGGGCATGTAGAGGCTATTGGAGGGCAAGCAGAGCAAATGAAGCAACAACAATAGCTTGTAGTGCACCCCATTTTCAGTCTTGGTAGATTGAAGATGAGAGATTGATAGTATCATAAGGCAATAATACTTTGATATAATAAATTCAACATCAAGGTTACCATGGTGCAAGCTGAAATGACTATTTATGCCATTGCGGCAACTAAGAGTGTAGCATGTGACCTAGACTCATTTTTAATAAAACAAAAAATATAATTTTGAATAAAAGATACAATAAGCACTAGAGAAATTGCAACAACTAATAATAAGACTAAAAGTTGAAAGCTAAAATATAAATTCATAATGTCAAATGAAATAGATGCAACATGAGCTTATATAAATTAAACTTAGGTTTGAACTAAATAAATATCACTCTACAAAAAAGATAAGTATTAGATATTCTATCTAGATGCTCCCAACGGAGCCTCTACATCAATCCTCCCAAGAGGTGCTAGAAAAAAATTAGGAATTCTCATGAAAATTAGAATCATTTTACCATCAATTCAGTAGACTCTAATCACCCTTAATAGTAATAACCTTGAGATCTATTCTATTTTTTTCCCTAAATAATAACCCACCTTTGCTATCATGAAAAACAACATAACACAACCCATGAATCCATATTTAAATTACCCACATATGCCATGACAAAACCTGATCTAAAGTAATCCTAAATTTGTATATAATCATCCACCTATCATTATGACAGATAATCTACTTAACCTCTTAAATTTGCATCTAAATTACCACTTCTTCCATTATTAAAAAACTAAAATATTCTTTCAAATCTACATATGAATTATCAAAAAAAAAGTTTAAGCATACTTATGTTTCAACATTACCCACTTCTATTATTTTTAATATTTGTAATACTAAATAGAATAAACATACATATTGTGCCATCATGTGGATTAACTACACATGCATGCATGAGCAATAGATATATATGTTATGTTTTAACAATCATAAAAAATATTTTCTTAGCTACTCATATAGTAATGATACCAACAAATCATTTAGATTATACTAATAACATGACATATAATTTATAAATATCGTTATTTTAGATAAATCTATATTCTACTAAAACATTTGATATATCTATATTAATAACATACCGATGTAAGAACTCTATTTTAATAAAGAAATATTATTACAAATGTAACTTGATAAGAGAATTAAAACATCTTGAGAAGTGTGGGAGGTTAGTACAGACTAAAATTGGCTAACTACCTAGTATTCAAGATTCATTTCGGGTAAATACTAGTAAGGATCTTGAGGTTAGAACCAATACTCCATCTTAAATCTTACTTCAAACTCTAACATCAGTTTTAAAAGATGTGGTGTAGATTTTAAATGACCATCATATCATTGTATAGTACTTAAGAGTATAGTCTATGATCTAAAATCCTTGCTTACAATAAAATATGAAAGAAAGAGTTAATAAAAGATACAATAAGCACAAGTGCTTTAGCTTAACTTGAGGATAAAAATTTGTAGCAACTAAAAAGGTTAAAATTTGAAAATAAAAATCTAGATTCATGGTGTCATAAGATAGAGGTTGCAACAAGAGCCACCACAATATAAGCTAAGGTTTCAACTAAATGCATATTCAAAATTACCTTGCAAGTTTAAAAAATAGAGATATAAATGAAAAATATATAGATAAATAGTCAATAAGTTTAATACAATTAGATAGTGACTACGAAGTATCTAATATACCAGTTGTGTAAGAAAATTAATAACAAAAAAACATGTAAATTTATACAAGTTAATTTTATTAGTTATATATGTATTAAACAGTAACATCAAAGTTTATATCTCATGAAATTTTAACTTGTGCGGAAGCACGGATCGATGAACTAGTTTATCATAAATTACGCTATCAAACACCCAGTCCCAATCGGTTCTGTTAGTTGCTGGAATCAATTGTTTACGATCTTGTTTAAAGGCGTTCTTCTTCTTTCGAGAAGATTAGAGATGTAGTCTTTTTTTTTTTTACTTTTCCTCTTCGAATATATATATATATAATTTTTGATCGAGGTAAAAAGGAACGCTTGCCATTGGAGTACAATGCTTGCAAGTCTAAACTCATAGTGCAAGCCATGATTACTCATTATGCTATCTATGTACATTCCGTGCGCCCTTTGGTCACCGACACCTTCTCTACCAGTGTGCCGGTGGCGACGCCGCAGCTCTCAGTCCCCAGTTGCCGCTGGCGGATGACGCAGAGATGGCCGCCCATCCCTGAAAATTTGTCCCTGAACTGGCTTTACTACGCTGCCTCTGCCTGGCGGTGCTGCGCCCGCGCTTCTCCGGCGTAGACGACGAGCGCCCTGTCGAGCGGCGGCCTCTGGACGCGGTAGTACCAGCCGCCGTGGCTCACCTCCCGCTCCAGGTGTCGGCAGTAGCTCCGGAACAAACTAGTGCAGATGTTGAGCCTGAACTGCAACAGGAACAGGAAGCCGAGCTCCAGCGCGCCCAGCTCCGCGGGCGCCAGCCCGCCCACCGCCGCGAAGTGGGAGTTGCTGTAGTTGCGGTCCTCGACGAACTTGGACGCGACGAGGATGGCCGTGGTCAGCAGGCGCTGCGCGTTGGCGCGGACGACGCGCACGCCGGCGCCGCCTAGGCGCCGGAGCCGGTCCAGGTACGCGTACGCCACCACGTACACCTGCGGCGGGACGTGCGCGTACCGGGAGAAGCGCTCCAGGAACGCGTGCAGACTCATGTCCAGCACCGTGCCGCTGTCGAACGCCCGCACCCTCTTCCTCGTCGCCGCTGCCGCCGATTCAGAGCCGTCGGCGTCGTCTCCCGGTGCCGCGGCGGCCGCCAGGGCCCGCTCGTTGCGGGCGATGTGCCGCTCCAGGATGGACGCGAGCACCGAGATCACGACCGGCGGCGACAGCGCCGTCGACGTCCCGTCGTCGTCGCGGCACGGGAAGGCGAACGCGTCCGACTCCGACGGCAGCTCGCTCGTTGCCATCTCTTGACTTCTGGGTCGGTGGTCACGAACCCACACGATCCGCTCACGGGGACCTGTGCTGCTATCGACTGGCAAGCTTCGTTCTCGGCCCGCCTCTCTCGACCACACACAGAACTGCACTGAACTGCAAGCTCGTGAGTCGTGAACCGTGGCTAATTATACACGCGGGGGCGTCGGCGAGTTGTGGGGGGCGGAGAAGCTATAAACAATGGCGTGGGGCTGGACGTGTGGAGTGAAGTTGACACGAGGAAGGAGCCCGGAAGCCGTAGTAAATTGAAAGAAATTCAGATGGATGCAGCGACGACTGACAGACTTGATCGATTGGCTCGGCTGGTAGCGTGGTTGGGGGATCCGTGATCGACGAGGCTGGATTTTTATGACAAATCGCGAAAGACAAAGCAAGTACTGCCTGCAGATCATCCTGTCGGTGTTGTCCGTACCATACTGCCATTAGCTATTCCTCCGTCCTCCCGGTCCCGGCTCGCAGTATCGAGCGTACGTGCTACCTGCTGGTCTGGTACGAGCATCTTTCTTGCCGTCGTTATGACGCGTGGCCTGCTGGCTGGTGAAGAACCGGCTCTATTTAATCGCTTCCTTGCCGGCTCGAAATGTTCGCTTAAAATACAAGATTCATTCGATTTTTGATAGCGTTACAGATAAATAATTTAATATTTACTTTAGTCTTCTCCAACAATAAAACTAAAAAACAACCACTTCTATAAATGGTTCTTCAGGAGAGAGGATACTCATATTTAGGTTATGCCTCTCCCGACATCCAAAATGCATCTTCCATATGGATACTCTGTTGAAGGCTATAGGTATTATGTTAGAGACCTATTTTGGATTTGAGTTCCGCAATGAGTCTCCCGTTAGAGATAGCCTTATGCTGAAATTTGGCTTATACTAATGTTTATATTGAAATGTTACGAGAGAAAAAACATTATTCCATGGCTGTAAAGTAGCTCAAGCGAACAGGGCTAAAGATCTTTGCAGTCTTCCCTCAGCCCACTGATATAGTAGTTAACTCTCCACTATGAATACATGGTCCACTTATCTCTTTTATAAAGTTTCTCGATTTTTTTTCTAGGCCGGCAGTAAGCTTGCAGCTCGCTTTTCTTCTCTCTTCTCTTATCTTTCATCTACCTCAGCATTTAGCGGGCTTAAAGTCTGCCATTATACTTGCTCTTAGCATTGATGTTTTGTTTGTTCAGACGTCGAAGCTCTGCAGGCGACAGTAGTGGCGTTGGCGTTGGAGTAGAGGACAAGCGCACCGATGAGTTGATATGGTGATTGCAGGGAGGATACGAAAATGGATCTGCTGAGGATGACGCGTACCAGTATTCACTAATTATACTTTCTCAAGAAAACGATGCATATGCATTCGTACAGTTGCAAGTCCAGGTCCCTTGGTGCTGAGCTTCCGCTTCCAACATGTAAAAACGCATTGGACGTGGCCTGCTGACTTGTCCTTCTAAAGCAACCATTGACGCTTCATTTCGTCAAACATCCTGTGGGCGCGCGAGCAGGTGCCGCCGCCGCCGCTGCGGGTGCGCGAACAAGCCCGCCGTGGCCACGCGGGCACGCGGGCGAGGTATGGAGTGCTCGAGGCTTGGCTGCGCCCCCAGGCGACGGCGAACAAGGCGGCGGTGTTCGTCGTGAGGCTGGGGTCGTCAGCCAAGGACGCCGCCGCGGCGCCCGGGGAGGATCCGAAGAAGAAGCGGTCGTCGGGGTCGCAAGAGCCGGGCGCGGCGGTAAATGCCGGTGGTGCTTTGGTGCCCTCGGCGGCGGCAGCGCACTCTCATTTGCACCAAGGAGGAGGTGGACGCGATCTTGATCCAGTGCGGCCGACTCAATAGGAGCTCGTCCGGGGCTGGAAGGGCGGCGTCATCCGGCGAGGCGGGAGACGACGGCGGCGGACACCGTAGGAGGCCTTCGGGTCCAAGCGAAGCTACGACTTCACCAGAGGCCAGGACGAGTGTGGGCCCAGGACAGACAGAGGCGCGACGGCCGCTTCTCGAGCCGTCGCCAAGACCGGGCTCGCCGCAATGGAAGCGGTCGGGCGGGCGGGAGAGGAGCGGCGGGAGCGGAGCCGGAGGGCTAGCCGGTCGCCGGAGACGCGGCTGGATGGCGCCGCTGGCCTCGGTGGGCTACTGGCGGGCTCCACTGCCGAGACAAGGCGAGGCAGCGGTGACCGGGAAGATGGTGTGTCCAGCAGCAGGGCCGACGCCGGTGCTCAATGAGCTCGCCCGGGGAAGAATGAGTAGTCTCCGTCTGGCGCAACCCGACTTCAGACACCACCCGGTGCTCGAGGAGATCCACAACTACCACCAAGAATCCACCTCAGTAGCTCCTCCGCTGCCACGCGGGGCGACGCCGTCCTTCTCGCTGCCGACGTGGGTCGCCTAAGGCCTACTCCATCGCCGAGGCCGTGGTCGACGACAAAGGCTCCATCTAACGTCTTGCGGTCGGCAACGACGACTTCGTCGAGCCGAAAGCATCGCGGCAAGCACTCTGCTGCCGGTGCGGGACATCTCTGCGAAACCGAGCCCCTCGAGTCGGCTAGGAGCAACAGCGCTCTCGGCCACCTGTGGACGCCCTCTGGAGCCCACCTCGGCCGAGGCTAGCGCGGTGGCGAGCCTGTGCCGCGGGCTTGCCGGTGGTGGCGCTCGCAGCCGGCAGATCTCGCTGCGACGCCAAGAACCGTGGGCGCCATGGAGGACGATTTACCTGCCAGCGCGCTGTGGTGGCGCGACAATAGCTTCGCTTCGCGCCACCCAATGGCGGCGACACCTCCTCGCACGCCCGCAGTGGCGGCTCGCCCGCGCGCCTATGGGGTGGCGGCACGCCTGCTTGTGCACCCACGGTGACGGCATCGGCTTCTGCTCGCGCGCCCGCGGGGCTACGGCTGGCCTGTTTTCGCGCCCGTGCGGCAGGGCGGCGGCACCTCCCTGCATGTCCGCATGGCCACGGCATCATGCCATGTCAGCACGAGAAGCCAATGTGGACAGCTATGGACCTAAGTGATACATCATACTAAGTTTATGGATCCAAAAAATCACTTTAAAAGTTGATGGACCTAACTAAAACCTTCTCATAAGTTAATGGATCTATGATGCATTTAACTCTTTTTTAATTGTCTTGCTCTTGGGTCGCCCTCCCAGCATAAGAAATGGCAACTCAAATCTGACCATACGAAAAGAGATATTTTACAATGCTCGAGAAAGTACCTTCGTACCTCTAGGTATTTTCATTTTTTTTTCTATTTTTTAGCTAACTAAGTGAGAAACATTATTTATTATTTATTGAATATAATTTGTAATATTGAGGGTATTTTTGTAACTGAGGTGTGATTTGTGAACGTGTGATAAATTTGGTGTATTCTCTCTCTTCCACCGTGCATGCTTCTCCTGTTCTCCAATTTCTCCCCCGTCTGTTCTTTCTCCGTCTTATCCAAAACAAGACATAGTATGGCTTTGGGGTGGCGTACTAGCGACGGTGACCGATGGCACGGCACTGGGGTACAGCTGCAGGGATAGCGCGAGCACTCGCATGTAAGTGCGGGCAGCGTGTGGCGTGTGCTAGCGGCCGCAGGCCGGCAGGACCTGTCGACATGCGAGCCCGGCCTGCACGGCGGCGCAGCCAAGGTGAGCAGGCGAAGCGAGGCCGAACTATAGGGTCGGCGCATGGCTACTGCAAAGCGTGCGGCCGGAGGCCGAAAGGCTGCAAAGTGAGCGAGCGCAGCGGACAGCATGCGCTAGGTGAAGGCCGACTCGAAGCAGCGGCCGCGGGACCATGGTGAGCACGAGGATGTTCCTGCAGACGCTGGCCTCAGGGTTGTCCTTCCTAATGCGTGCCGTCTCCATGGCGGTCACCGTGGCCATGGCGGCCTCGACGGGGTCATCGGACCCGAGCTCGCCGGGGAGGGGATGTTGACGTTCTTCTTCTTCAACTTCCGCCAGATGCCAAGGATAATCTCCTTGGTGAGCAGCGACATAATAGCCACCATGGTGGGGTCGGGGATGGCACCGCGCCTGCTTCAGCTGCTGCGAGGACGGGCTGGGACGCATCCAAGGAGAAGGTCACCGAGCTGCTCAAGATGCTCAAACAAGTACAAGAGAGTAGCCGAGTTGGGTGATTTACCCTGAATGGCAGTAAATTACTGATTTACCCTTATTCGAAAATAAAATATAAAATGAAAAATAGATTTAGCCCCACCTAATATGGTACTGGCCCCACATAATTTGGTACTATCCTCACCTAATTTGGTACCTTCAGTTAGGTATCTCCTATTTTTTTACCGTCCGATCTCGCGCAATGGATCATCCATGTTTTTTTCAACCATCGTAAAATTTCTCATACGAAAATGTTAGTTCTAACATGACATGCATAGACCATGGGGCAGCAGAACGCCATGTTAATTTAAACTGATGCCGTAAGTACGCTTGGTAAAAAGAATACCATTGTCCCCTATTATTTCTGATGATGAAAACTATCTGCATTCCCTACAGAAATATAAAGCAGATCACTGATTTCTGATAATAATACATCAATGCCGCCGCCTGCCGTGCCCTACGCCCCTAAATGTTGATTGGCCAAATTGAACTTTATTGCCTGCCACTTTCTCGTCGACTTGCTTTTGTATTATATTCGCCGTACACGATATAATTAGCTAAAATCTCTGTCAACATGGGACTACAAAGCTATTTTATAATTGCTGCTAAATGTGCCACGTCTGGCCAGCTGGATGGATCGGCCCAGAGATAACTATTATAATGTGCTACGTACCAAGCAAGTTGACAATTCTTTCGAAGCGATCGAGCCCGAAAGAAAATCTCAAGTGTCAGACAAAATTTGAAGCGGCCGAAAGAATAATGATGATGCAAGCTGTCAATTTGGTGCGTGCACTAAAGTGTTTTCTTCTCCGTTGATCGCTGAACACCGCAGTGCCTCTACGTGTGGAAATTTTTTGTGATTTTTGGTGCAGTGTATGGTCACGACCT